GCGGGGGCCGGGCCCCCCCCCGCCTCTCTCTCGACGCACATGCTCTTGTCGACGCGGTTCCGGCGATCTTCGACCGGTTCGATTCCGTCACGAAACTCACCCTCAACTGCGATCTCGATCAGATAGCATCAGCGACGACGCGCTCAAGGTCATCTCTCGGCGGTGCCCTAATCTCACCAGGTTAAAGCTACGAGCGTGCAAAGAGATCACTTTCATAGGTATGGCTGCTTTTGCTTCGAACTGTAGGAGTCTGAGGAAGTTTTCTTGTGGGTCTTGTCGCGCGCCTATGCCGAAGCGTTGCACGCACACACAACGAACTTGAGATCACGAAAGAAGAAAGCCACACACTTGCACAAACCAAGCCAATTACGACAAATCAAACCAAACACAGAGATATACGTGGTTCGGCAATTACCTACGTCCATGGGGAGAGGATGGGGAGATTTTATTATATGGAGGAGAAATACAACGGGTTACAACTCACAAAATCACTCAAATATAACCCTAACCAAAGCTCTCAACTCCCTCACAATATCTCCCTCTCAAAGTGCTCAAAACAATGCTAATTCTCTCATTTTCTCTCCTTAAGAAACCCTAAAAAATGTGGTCCTATTTATAATAAAACACAATCCCAAACAAAGGAGGATTCACATATAAAGGAGGATTCTAAAAATGAGTCTGCCACACCCTGCACCATGGGTGTGGCAGAGGGTATGGTGCAGAATAGATTCTGCCACATCCTGCACCGTGGGTGTGGCAAAGGGTGTGGTGCAATACAGATTCTACCACACCCATGGCAGACACCACACCAGGGTGTGGTGGAGTCTGTTTTGGATTATTCTTCACGTTTTTCACAATTCCTTCGCCGTTTTCACAATTCTCCACCTCGGCGAAGTGTTCCCAACACTGAACCGACACCAACATGAGCACCAATGTGTCGTCTCTCTAAACTCGGCTGCACCAATGTGGTTGCCTACGTACCCCCTCTCCCAAGGGATCAAGCCACCCGTAGTTCATCCAAATAGCCGTCAACGGCCTCAACAATCACGAATGTGCAACAAGTTTCGACAATGATCAAACTTATTGCTCGGAACCACCTTAGTGAGCATATCCGCCAGATTATCCTTTGTGTGAACTTTCACAATCTTTACATTGCCATCTTCAAGAACATCCCGAACGAAGTGATAACGAACGTCAATGTGCTTCGTCCTCGCATGAAAAACCTGATTCTTCGCCAAATAGATAGCACTCATGCTATCACAATAAATGGTGACGGACCGCTGCGATATACCAAGTTCCTCCAAAAGTCCTCGAAGCCAAATAGCCTCCTTCACAGCCTCCGTAACCGCCATATACTCTGCCTCCGTTGTAGACAAAGCCACCGTAGACTGTAAGGTGTATCTCCAACACACCAGCGCACGGGTCAAAGTAAACACATATCCCGTAGTAGACCGATGCTTATCCAAATACCCGGTATAATCCGAATCAACATATCCAATACACAACTGCCCACCTGTAGTGTCCCGCTCATAAACCAAACCAACATTGAGCGTACCTCGAATGTACCTCAAAATCCATCTCACGGCGTCCCAATGACCCACTCCTGGATCGTGCATGTATCTCGACACCATGCTCACCGCCTGTGATAAATCCGGCCTCGTACATACCATCGCGTACATCAAGCTCCCAACTGTACTCGCATATGGAGTCTTCGTCATCAACTCACGGTCTTCAACTGACTTTGGTGAAAGACCAGCTGAAAGCTTCAAATGGGCTCTCAAAGGTACACCAACTGGCTTCGTATCCATGCTAACATGGAATCAATGTAGAACCTTCTTCAAATAAGCCACCTGTGTCAAATAAATCTTGCCCTTCTTCTTGTCTATACCGATCTCCATCCCTAAAATGCGCTTCGCCTCGCCCAAGTCCTTCATCTCAAACTCATTTGAAAGCTGAACTTTCAACTCATCTATAGCTGACCTGGAACTAAAGGCAACCAACATGTTATCGACATAAAGCAACAAATAAATATATACACCTCCTCTCAACTTGTGAAAATACACGCAATGATCAAACTGGCTCCGAGTGTACAAATGACCAAGCATAAAACCATCGAATCGCCTATACCACTGTCGAGGAGATTGCTTCAAATCGTATAGCGATTTCTTTAACCTGCAAACCAACTTATCTTTCCCTGCAGCTCGGAATCTCAATGGCTGAGTCATATATATTTCTTCATCAAGATCACCATGAAGAAATATCGTCTTCACATCTAACTGATCTAACTCTAATCCATATTGTGCCACCAAAGCTAGCAGAATCCGAATCGAAGAATGCTTCACTACCGGAGAGAAAACCTCATTGTAATCAATACCTTCCTCCTGTGCATAGTCCTTCGTAACCAACCTAGCCTTGAACCTCACTGGAGTGCCCTCAATGCCCTCCTTCTTCGTGTACACCCACTTGCACCCAATCGCCTTCCGCCCCTTTGGAAGCTTAACAAGCTCCCATGTATCGTTCTTATGAAGGGACTCTGCACCCAATCGCCTTCCGCCCCTTTGGAAGCTTAACAAGCTCCCATGTATCGTTCTTATGAAGGGACTCTGTAGGCATCGAAAATTGCCTATAGGTCTCCACGAACAGCTCAGTGCTAAGAAATAACGATGAACGTCACTATCCGGTTCACAAAAGTTTGATTGATGTTGGTGAACACTTGAAGTGAATCGACGAACTACGTAAAGCGACGGAATTTCAGAATAACAGAGACACGAACTGATCGAGAACCTTGTATTGTTCACAAATGGCGAAATACCTTTCGTGTC